ACCATGTTCGGCTGAACTCCGAGGCACGGTCAGATCTGGCCTGATGGGCTACCTTTATGGTGTCCTGGAATGGCATATCGTTGGTGTCTGCAAGTCAACAGCAGGTCCCTAGGCATGTGGTTGTGTCAGATACATCTGGCTCGTGGGGTTGCGGGGCATACTATGCTCAGGAATTGTTCCAACAACTAGAGTGGGCAGATTCACCCTTGGCAGGGGCTTCAATAGCGGTGAAAGAACTCACCCTCTTGTAGTGGCGGTGGCATTATGGGGCTCGGATTGGAGAGGGGAGGTTGTGTCATGCAAGACTGACAACGCAGCAGTGGTGGCAGTTATAACGACCAGAACGTCTTGGGACAAGCAGCTGCTCAGGTGTCTCTTTTTACTGGAGGCAAAATATGACTGTCACTTGGTGGCATCTCACATACCAGGGGCGCACAATGAACTGGCAGACCATCTGTCACGTAATCGATCGTCTCTCTTTCTGCAGCAGGCCCACCCCTCTACATTTCAAACCCCTCGGTTGGTCCCCAAGGAGCTGCAGGCTCCGGCGTTCAGTCAGCAGGACCGAACCTCTGCAGCCTGGAGGAATCAGTTCAAGCGTATTTTCAGGAGGGCGTAGCGCCAGCCACATGTAGAACATACATGCAGCAGGTATAAAGAAGTACATAGCTTTCTGTTCACTCTACGGCATCCAAGACCCATTAGACGTCACTCAAACTACTCTATGCTACAACGTTGCTTATTTAGTTAACACAGGCTTTGTATTCTCCTCCATAAAGACGTATTTATTTTCAATCAGATACTTCTTAATCTCCAACGATAGGCCACTTATGTCAGTCGCCACCACACCTAAGTTGCAGATGGTTTTGTCAGGTGTTCAGCGAGTTTTGTCAAGGGTAAAGGCGCCTCAGCCAAGGCTCCCAATTACGCCTCCAATTCTCGCCAATTACGGTCAGTTTGGTCAAGGGAGGTACACAACTACGACCATATCCTGATATGGGTAGTTTGCTGCGTCTGTTTCTTTTCTTTCTTTCAGCTGGGCAAACTGATACCAAGCTCGGTGTCAGCGTTTGATCCAGCCACGCACATGCAGTAGGCCGACGTGGCTGCCGACTGCCCGAGCAGGCCAACACTGATCTCGTTGCAACTGAAGTGGGCCAAAACGGACAAAAGAGGCGCCACAGTATTTCTCAGCAGCTCAGACAGTGACATTTGCCCGGTGGTAGTGCTGCTCACGTACACGGTCGTCCGGGGACAACAACAAGGTCAACTTTTCAAGGGCTCTGATGGGGCACCTCTGGCGAAGCCGTGGATGATTGCCAAGCTGCGGGAAGCTTTGGCAGAGGCTGGGCACGATAAGCGGATGTATGTGGGACACAGCTTTAGAATCGGAGCTGCTACGACCGTGGCAGCAGCTTGCATAGAAGATACCACCATTCAGGCGCTAGGAAGGTGGTTGAGCACGGCGTTCTTATCGTACATTCGACTGACCCCACAGGAACTTCCACTAATTTTAACCAGGATGGCAGCAACATTTCACCAAACCCCGAGCACCAAGTAACCATATCCACCGCAATTGCATTAAGACGTACGTGTATATACTGTTCCCTTGTGATTGTTACTAATGCTAGGTGATTAAAGGGGGCAGGGCATGTTGGTTAGAACCCAGGCAAGGATATTATTGGGAATTAATGGGTAATTACGGTTAAAACGGAAGTAGGCGGGCAAGCACGCGCATAAAAACAGACGCGCAGCGCAACAGTGCTCACATTATCGCGTATCGCAGTGTTTGCAGCGTGTTCTGCCCGCCAAAGCCTAAAAATTCTAACGCCCATGGCGACACAAGCCGATCTCCGCACAGCGGACTTGGACTCGCTGCTCAAGACGCAGCTCACCCAGCTTTGCAGGGACAACGGTCTCCCAACCGGCGGTCTTAAATCATCCCTGATCGCCCGACTGCTGACCCTGCGCTCCCAGCTACCTCCCCTTCCCGCGTCCTCTGCAGCCACCGCCAACACTGGTTCACAGCAGGGTGTCGGATTCGCATTCACCGGCTTGCCCGCCGTCTCTGCGAACGCCGCCTCCCCCTCTGCCGGCGTCCCTCGCCTGCCAACTGCGCCCACTCACGCTGGCCCTGGCCTGCAGCCGTCGAACCTCCATACGATGGCCCGACAGGTCGCGCAGCAAGCCGCGGCTCAAGTGCTGGCGCAGTTCGCCCTTCCGTCTGCCGCGTCCTCCACAGCGTTCGCACCAGCCCCTCCCCCCTTTCCGTCTACCACTGCGGTAGCTCCACCGCAGCCCACCGCCACCGGGTTCTCGCTGCACCCCAGCCAGGTCCCTTTCGCTGGCTCCGCCCCAACTCTCCTGCCGCTGCTGGGATCCATGGCAGCCCCGCAGTCCTCCGGCCCCAGTGCCACCACTGCAACCTCCTTGTCATGGGTTTACCAGCCTCCCTTTCTCTCTCCCCACATTCCAGGCACCCACAATGTTATTGCCGACTCTCTTTCTCGGTTTCGCATGCAGGTGTTTTGGTCGCACGCTCCACAGGCCTCACCCCAGCCAACCCCTCTCCCCCACTCTCTTCCCTTCATGGAGAAATGACCTACTACCTGCACCACTCCCTCGCACCATCCACCCGCGCCTCCTACTCATCCGCCCAACGCTGTTTCATCAACTTTGCCTTAACGTACAACCGCCTGAACACGACAGGCTTCCCAATCCCTGCTATGCTCTTTGCCACATATCTCACACACACCCACAAACCTCAGTCTATCAAACTCTACCTCTCCGCCGTCCACACACTACACCTTGAGCACGGTCTGCCGGACCCAACATCGGAGGCAGTCAACCTCCGACGCCTGATGCGTGGCATCAAACGGGTGCATGGCAACACCACCGACTCCCGGCTCCCCATCACCCCTTCCCTCTTGCGCTCGTTTCGCTCCTTCCTTAATCTCTCCTACCCTGACCACCTAACTCTTTGGGCCGCCATACTACTTGCCTTCTTCGCCTTCCTCCGCAGCGGCGAGCTCCTCTCACTCCACCGCAGTGACCTGCACAGGACAGCGGACGGGTTCCAGGTGCACATCAAACAGTCCAAGACGGACCCGTTCCGCTCTGGAGCTGTTGTCACAGTGCTCCCATCTGGCGACCCATCCCTCTGTGCAGTCACTGCCCTGGATTCCTACCTAGCGACCCAGGGCCCCACAGAACGTACTCTGTTCCGCCTCCAGACAGCTGCTCTCACACGCCAGAGACTCAACAACCTAATCAGAGACCTGGCCTCGCGGTGCGGAGCCGAGTCACAGCGGTACTCCTCCCACTCCTTCCGCATCGGGGCTGCCTCAGCAGCAGCCGCAGCTGGCATTCCAGATTGGAGGATCCAAGCCCTGGGCCGCTGGAGCAGCGACTGCTACCGGCGCTACATCCGCCTGCCGAGCAGCGAGACCAACGGCGTTGCAGCAGCACTAGCAGGAGCTCCACTATAATTCACAACCAAGTAAGCTCACTAAAGCCGGACCCTAAATGTTTGGGGCAGCACCTATCTAACAACCTATACCCCTCCCTATACATGCCTATGGCTTTCAGGGACAGCCTATCCTCGTCTCCAGAGTGGCACTCAGACTGTCACCTGGAATGAGACGCACTCCCTCCTCGTCTCCAGAGTGGCACCCAGACTGTCACCTGGAACGAGACGCATTCCCTCCTCATCTCCAGAGTGGCACCCAGACTGTCACCTGGAACGAGACGCATTTTCGCCGTGCCCAGCTCTGCCAACACTCGGCACCTGGCCGGCCTTAGGCATTCCCCTCGCTCCCAGCTCTGCCACTCAGCCTGGCACCTGGAGCCGAGACGCACTAACACCGTGCCCAGCGCCGCCATCCTCGATGGCACCTGGCCGGTCACAGAGCTGACCTTTACAGGTCGGGTTCGGCCAAACAAGTAGAATAGGTTTGCCTCACATGGACTGCTATTACGTGAATGATTGTTTTAATCACTTGGGTGGAGGAAGGCTTGGCCTTCCCCTTGGACCATGACTGGTGTCGGGTACCGACTCCAGCATGCCACCCAATCGCACAATATAGTGCATGGACTGAGCACACACACTCATGTTAGCGCTCACCTTCATGGGCAAAGGCCAATGGGGAGCACACCCGAGTAGAGCCTGCAGTGTTAGCGCAGTAGTGTGGTAGTCCGTGCGAGATAAAGAGCACCTGGGTCAACATGCCTCTAAAACAATAAATAACACAGGACACAGCGAACGAGCCACACCTCTCGAGCACTTGCATATACAGCCAGCAATCACGTGCGATCCGTAGTTAACAGGAAGTTAAACGTAGTTAACGGTGGGAGCCAGACATGCGCAATAGGGCGTGTCACACTGTGCTTGCGCTCAGGCATGCGCAATGCTCGGCCACGTGGCCGCACGGCAGTATGCACTAGTAAGCACGTGAGCGAGACGAGAGTTTGCCCGTGGTGTACAATTGCAGCTCCACCCACCTTCCCCACCAGGCTCCACAATCATATTAGTTCTCCCCCAAGCATGATGTGACATCCAGACATGAAGCATGCAGGGGGGTTTGTCTGAGTGTCGGCTAGGCAGCTGCCAAAAGAGGGGCTCACTCGCACCTCCCCCAAAGACGCATGCCGGGGGTTTCACGATGCCCGCGAGGGTCCATGATGGCTGGGTCACGTGTGAGCACATGGCATTACGGGGAGCCCATGCCCGGTCACGTAGCTGCACGTGCCCAGCCACAAGTCACGTGATATTGGCGGGGGGGTGTCGATCACGTGAGCAGCTCAGACTGACTCAGCACACACCGCGTCCAGGCGTACAAGGGACACTCCGCTATGTCTGGCTCCTCCAATCAGTAGAATGGGCGGACTAGAGTTAACTTGTACTGTACAGTGTATATGTGTACACTATGTACACAAGCACAGGTACAATGTATATACCTGTGCTTGTGTGCTTGTGTACCTGTGCTTGTGTGCTTGTGTACCTGTGCTTGTGTTGAAAAAGAATCCTAGGGATCCTATTGAAAGAAAAGTAGTCTTCCTCCACATCCTCATAAGTTTCACCTGTAATACATTAAAAAAACATAAACTGTTTTTGTAACAAACATGCAAATGTATATCAGATTCACATCAGCAGCCGATAGCCTGGCCAGACAGATGACAATGTGGATATGCGCGGGCGATAACTATGCCTTAGTATGCGGGGAAAGGGGACGCATTATTGGTACAAGTAAATTAAAATTCCTGCGAATTAAAAAAAGGAGGCATAGAGGGATGGTTTAAAAAGAAAAGGAGACAAGATAGGGATGGCATATAAGTCATAGCTTCCATACATGTACATTGTGAGGTATAGGGACACTCCCCGAGCCCACAACAAAATCCCTATATTGTTGCCTGGTGTGTATATTCTTCTGTAAAAGTAGCTGTAAGTTGCTCTTTCAAGGTTTGTGTTGCATTATTCAAAGTGGGCAGCAGCAGCACTCCAATGTGTATCACTGAGTATGGTTGTGCCTATAGTGCAAACTCGGTAGGTGTTTACTTCACCTAGGCAACAATTATAGGGATTGTGTCGTGGGCTGTCCATGTGTGCTGCCGTTGGCAAGTTTGAGGAGTGAAGAAGTTAATGCCTGAGGCTATTTGCTGTTGTTCAAATAATATGTGGCTGTCATGGGAACATGAGGTGGTCATGGAAATGGCGTTACATGCATCCGTACCAAATTCATCTCCATGCATGGTGACGTTAGCAAGTTTGAGGAGTGAAGAAGTAATTTTAAAGAAAAGTGAAGAAAGGTGCCTGAGGCTATTTGTTGTTGTGGTCGTCACGGAAACGATGCAATACACATGCGCACCAAGTTTCATGCGTGCTACAATTAGCGAGTTTGAGGAGTGAAGATGTAATTTTAAAGAAAAGTGCCTGAGGCTATTTGTTGTTGTGGTCATCATGGAAACGATGTAATACACATGCGCACCAAGTTTCACCTCCATGGGTGCTACAGTTAGCAAGTTTGAGGAGTGAAGAAGTAATTTTAAAGAAAGTGCCTGAGGCTTTGTAAAACAATATTCGGTCATCATGGAAACATGTAATCGTCATGGAAATGATATAATAGGCATACATATTAAGTTTAATCCCTATGCGTGCTACCATTGGAAAGTTTGAGGAGTGAAGAAGTAAAAGTGCCTGAGGCTATTTGTTGTTGTGGTTGTCATGGAAATGATATATTATGCATGCGTACCTAGTTTCACCTCCATGTGTGCTACAGTTAGCAAGTTTGAGGAGTGAAGAAGTAATTTTAAAGAAAAGTGACTGAGGCTATTTGTTGTTGTTTACAAACATGTATTGTTGTGATTTTTTAATGTTGGTGATTGAATACATTATGTCTATTCTTCCGCGCAAAGAAACTCGCTCCGTCGCTGCGAGCTCGCCGCGACGACTCGCTGGGGGAAGCTAAAAAGGTCTTCATTTTAGTTTCTTTTTGCATCGTAGAGAGGCCTTTCGTCGAAGAAGCATCGGATACAGCGAGTTTGAAGTCGTCGTGGCGAGCTCTCAGCGATGGAGCGAGTTTCTTTGTGCGGAAGCTTGCCATACCCCCATCGAAGATGCCATTCTTTGGCGGGCGTCTCCGTGGAAACACGCACTTGGAAAATACGGGATTTAGAATCCACGTTTTAGGCAATGTGATTGGTCAATTTGAATCTGCCGACGTCTAAATTACTGTATGCAGCAGACAGAGTTTACCTAACACATAATATACAGTGAAGCTATAATATTTACCTCCATTCCTCAGACACTCAGCAACACCTTTCATAGAGCGAGCAATCACCAACTACAAGTAAGAAGTATACATTATGTACACAGAATACTAAAGACCAGTTTGCAATAATTTTTCTATTCATAGATATACTAGATGAATGCTAAGCATGAGCGGGAGCGACCAAAACTGTGGATGTACAGCCGTTAGTGAGCATTCACAGGGAGCATTATAGCTTGGTGCCTCGGTTGCGTATCCGCACAATTGCAAGAAAGGTGTTTGCCGGTCCTCGGCTGTATCTGAAGCGAGACACTGCCTCCTGCGAGCTCTATCTCGTGCTAGTCGCCGCTCCCTTGCATTGAGAAAGGCGAACCTGTTTCCCGCTCCATCCCTCCAGCTGTATGGACTAGCATCACACGTGGTTGCTGGCTGTTCGGTTATTTAGAATCACGTACAACATTACGGTATGTGTGGCATCGCCGCATAGAAAGAAATAAAGAAACGGAAAATCGGCCCGTTGACAAGACTAGGTTGGCTCGCTCCCGTTCACCAATTAGACTACGTAACCAGGACGGTGCATGTGATCCACATGTACACTGTACTTGTAAATGTCGCAATCCCCGTAGCCGTCATAGCCGGCTACCTGGGGCATTTTCTAAAGACAAAAGTCGTCTCTCGCTCTGGCTTTAACCATAAGCGGCACAGAGCAGCATCAACTTGCTGAGTGTATGGTGGAGTAACACACTGTGTAGGGTTTGAGGCTGCCTTCTGTGACATAGTGAGCCGGAACATGCATGAAAATGGCCGTATTTTTGTGTCTACAAACATATCAACACCCAGTTCTTTTTAGGAGATCCCAGGCCCCAGGGAGCATTCAGCTTTGCCAATTCTGAGGCGCGTACAGGCTGGCATTGCCCAAGTGCGTCTGGGACAAACACAATCCTTACGAATTTGTCTCGGGATCACGGCCCTAATTCTCCACCATCCAGCCTGGATAAGATGACCCACCCGGTGAGGCGACCACCATGGCTCGTCCGCTGCCGTCTCAGTCAGCTTTCAACCCCTTTGGCATGGTGGGACATGGCGATGGACAACCCACAGGCCACCCGAACGGTGATATTCGATATGAAACAATCGAGGATGGATCAATTCGGTTGCAGAGTAAATGTAATCTTTTGGCGGGGACAGGGCATGACCTGTGCACAGTCGCGGACATCCTAGCATACACGGGCATTTCAGCCAGGCCCATTCTCCCTGACCATGGCGAAGGCCCCACTGACCAAGCAGGCATTCGCCGAGGGGATTAAAGAAGCTCCTCGTGGCACTCTAACTCTGCTGGGCACTCTAACTCTGCTGGTCACAACTTTCGCATCGGCGCTGCAACACCTGCCACACTCGCAGGGATGGAAGACCCGATCATTCAACTACTGGGTCGGTGGCAGAGTGGTGCCTTCCTTCGTTACATAAAGACATCACACAAACTGTTGGCTCCCATGTCAGTGGCACTCGACTCCCAGAGCCGCCTTGCCAATGACTCTAGTCAAACCCAGTAGGGATCCAACATTGCTTAAGATCGTTCCAACAACCAACAACTCCAACAGAGAAAGAAGAAATGAAGGTGCTCTGTTGTGTTATATAAACTACTACAAACCTGTGTTTCAGAAATTCCGCTACACATTTGATGTATTGGTACAAAAAGTAATATATCCATGCTTGTGAAAGTCCATAAAATATGTTATGGTGAGGTAAGTGGTGTTGTAGTTTATCAGTAGAAACCATTGAAATGCACAGGCAAAATTTAATGACTAGTGTAGAGACAAAGTTGAAGAAGACAAGCAACAGGCTTAAAGTGATTAATTTTTAATCGTGGGGGAGCAGGGAATAACCTTTGACCTGTCTGTTCATGTGTATGCACACACGTGAATGTACGTATGTGTATATACGTATGTAACGCCGTCATGTTGCAACTGTAGAAGGCTTGTATAGACGCTGTATAACGCATCAGATTCCCCTGAGCTAACAAGTCCATGATAGCCAAAATGGAAGAATTAGTGGAAGACACTCAGCTGGCTACACTATGTTATATTGTATCACTGTTTTGCCATGTAGAAAGTGATGAAGTGCCTTCTACCTCCTGAACCAAGAGTACAGCATCCAGTAAGAGACTCCACACATGAATCAGGTTGTCAGTGTGACTCACACATTGTACAGTGGCCAAGGAAGTGCTTTCAGTGACATAATCACGTCGCAGCACAGCAGGACATCCTGTATCCCTTGAGTGTAATAAGTTAGCTACGTGTTTTGCAACAACATACACACCTCGAACATCATCAACATACAACACACAAGAAAGAAGTGATGTATATGTGGCTAAGGTTGGCATTACTAACAACAATCCTCGTGAAACTCACCAGAAATCAGTTTGGGGTTGATTACGCGAATGAAATTTTGCACGTGTACACTTTCCGCTTTTATAAATCTCTGTATATATACTGTACACTGGCGGAACAACTGGGTGTTTTAAACTGACATGTATCATTTGTGGACGGGTCATGTAGGAGTTTCGTTTAGGTATAGGCATGCCCCTTGTTATCATGATGTACAACATAACTATATCCTTCATTTCGGAGAAAGGATTCATGCGCAGCGAGGGTTACAGTACTTGGTCTGTCTATCCATCTGTCTGTTAGTTTCTTTGTTTGTCGATGCATATTCAGCACCTCAGGCTACGAGGCCGGCGGTTTATGAGCGATAACAACGGCTTCAGAATTACATATGCCAACCTGAAAAACAAAAATGGTAATTTTTGAAACTACTGTGTTTGAGATATAATTATATGCTGTGAAACAAGCACAAAAGCCAATATGCATAATCACGCTGGCTTACTCGACCTGATCCGCTTGCTCTGTGCATCTTGGAGGCACAAGAAGTCAAACGTCCGATCTACTAGTGTACTAGCTTGCCCATGTCACACTCTCCACAAACAACATACTAGCGTGGGTATCACGAGTAAATGCATACTCATAGCCCAGCCCAGCCCATCAATTAGTGGTACCACACATGCGCAGTGCGTTGAGGGTTTGCACTGTAGTACTCTTCATTGCTCAATGTTACAACAAAAATAGTTTGGCAGGTGGTGCAATCATACCGGGTTTTCAGTTGGTGTAGAGAAGTTGACGTTGAGATTAACATTGCTGGACTTCAGAGCAAATCCAGATGCACTGGAACCAAACACACTCACTGTCACATCTGCATGAGACAATAATTATGTCATAATGTGAGATGATTTCTACCTTCCACATTATTGTCTAGGATTGAAGCAGGTACGTAATACGACAAGGGGCTAATTAAAAACCAGTCTTTTAAGGTGCAGACATGGAGAATCAATGGCAGGTGAAGTGAGTCCACATGGGTTGTCTGAACGCTGGCTTGATAAACTCCCACAGACCTGGAATTTCAGACCCTAACATATACGGACCTCAAAATCATATGATTCATACACCTGGGTTCATTAACCCTTGACTGTGCGCATGCGCAGCGAGGGTTATTGCAGTCGGTCTGTCGGTGTGTGTGTGTGTGTGCGTCCGTCCGTCTGTCCACCATTTTTCTCGGTAAACGAGGCAACTCTGAGCGTGAAACGTGGACATATTATCAAGTAGGAGGCATGCATGGTAAACTAAGTTTCTAGAGCGGAGAAGGACAGGGAAGCTGGTGAAACGGACAGCTGCCGAGGTTAGGGTGCATCAATGGTGATCGCGGACGATCGCCGTACTTATTTGCACATGGAGAAGATTTGCTGGTCTGCCTGTATTGATAGTACAGTTGAATAGGAGCGAGATTGCCGGTCTCTGATCTTCTCTGAGACAGCAAACTATTGAACCTCCATAATCAACAGTGGCGAGGGTTATGCACTTTCAAGTGCTTTTCATTTGCCACTGAGGATAGTATGCATTAAATATATTTAGGGCTGTGTGGAAATACGGAAGCCATATGGACACGTGCGAGGGAGTAAAGTAAAACTAACCATCCTGTATGTAAGTGTTTACAACGGCTGGTAATCTTTAGGAGTAACTGTGGAAATTAAGGATGGACTAAATTTCATGCTTTGAGGACAGGCCAACCATAATCATAACTATAATATACACAGCTTAATTTTGAACTACAAATAATTCTTCTCAGGAGCTACTGTGGAAAAACTGACCGTTAATTAGCTAACCAGTGCCACTGTAGGCGGAACACTGGTTACAGTCTCACCTAGGCCATCCTCATTGAGGTAGCCCTGCAGCTCGGTGGCCACACTGAACCGAGTCTCTCTCTGCTCCCTGGCAGAGTGGTCCTGGAAGGTCTTGGTGAGGAAATCTGTGAGGGACTGGAGGGACTCAGCTGGGTACTCCCTGGGTAGGGCTGGCAGGAACCTCTCCAGCTCATGCTCCTACATCAGGTATAGAACAATAAGGTTACACTGTATGCTTGGAATAGGTGGACATTTGGATGTTGTATGTCAGATTATGAAACAGTGGACTATTTTATATTCCATATGGTACAGTAGGAGTCAAAAAAACGTTTCCAGTTTCGTTCCGTTTCTTTCCGTTTGCCATTCACTATCGTTCCGTTCCGTTTCCGTTCAGTTTCCATTCAGTTGTGAATTCCGCGTGCCACGCCCTCCACAAACGCGGTAGAGACTCGCTAGCAGGGGAGCGAAACAAGGTTTTTTCGCAGTGCAAACGCGAAACAAGGAGAATGCAGTACCCACGTAGGTGCTAGAAGAAATATCTTCACAGTGAGGCCTTCGCATCTCGCGAATTACGGCCCCTCGCGCAAACGCATGTACGGCAACAATTGTAAACGGAACGGAACGAATTCCAACGGTAAATGAACGGCGTTTCAGAAGGGAACGGAAGCTCAACGAAACGGAACGAAAGTGGAAACGTTTTTTGACCCCTACTCTATGGCACGGATTTATGCATTCGTAAAGACAGGAAAGTAAACACATCTTGCTTGTACTAACAGAAATGTATAAAGGTAATAACATGCATGTGTGGGTGCTTTGATACCTCCCTGGGTTTTCACAGGCACAATAGTACGTGTACATATTTGTATACAATTATACACAATACTTCTAACCTTCAGTTTGATTTTGTGTTCCTTGGTCTCAATGTGAGATTTGGCTGTCTTAATATTATTCATATGCTTCTTACAAGCTGCACAAACCAGCTGCTTCCTCTGGCGGTCTTTAATGGACACCTGAACACAGGGAAAATAACTCTGTTGTATGCATACACTAGAGTTCTTCAAACCTCCCTCCCCCCATCACAGATTAACCTCCAGGTGACTGAGACATACATAAGAGCCAAATTTTATGAAAGGAAATGCGCAAACTGCTATATATGCTTAGCATTATTTGGGCGAGTGGAGCGAGAGCTAAGCCTGTAGCTAACTGTATGTAGATCTGTCATCAGAGCAATCCCCACATTGACATGCACGCGGAGGTGTAACTGAAGTGATGAAGCAGCTCTGCAGTGACATGGAGCACTGAGAGATTGCTTCATTTACAGCTGTACCACACTACCTAGACGACACACGTGAAGCCACAGCTAAGCTAGCGAGTGTGAGCGAGAAATGCTGCTCTAAGGAGAATGCTCACACTAACTTTCGTTTAAGGCATCTAATGCAAGCACATGCGCACTCTCAGTTGCAAAAACACAAGAAACGGCTAGGTGGGCTAGCTATGTATACTCACTCAAAAATGACCACACTCATGAACAGATAGAAAGCTAGACTCAAATAAAAGAAATGCCTCCGTTGTCTTGCGCCAAGAAAGGCGTTTTCCCAGTCTTCGGCTGTTTCTGAAGTGAGACGCAGCCTCCTGCGAGCTCCGTCTGGTGGTAGTCGCCACTCACTTGTGCCGAGAAAGGCGTGTTTCCCGCTCCTCGACTGTTTCTGAAGTGAGACGCAGCCTCCTGCGAGCTCCGTCTGGTGGTAGTCGCCACTCACTTGTGCCGAGAAAGGCGTGTTTCCCGCTCCTCGGATGTTCTCTCCCAGACTACCATAACACGTAAATTGGAACTCGCTAACTGGCTGTCAGTTATTTAGAATCACGTACAACATTACGGATGTGTGTTGGTCGCATCGCCGGAAAGAAAGAAATAAATAAATGGAAAATCGGCCCGTTCATCCGACTAGGTTGGCTCGCTCCTGCTCGCCAATAATGTAAACAGTCTCTCCAATAGCGGAGTTTGGCAGTGATACTATACTAGCAATATATTTGAGGTGAGACAATCAAAACTAGAGCGTACACCATGACAGTGCAGAATTTCAGGTTTCATGCAAACAAAACACATTGTGAAAATAGTTTAATATGAAGCACATAATTTGTATGGACAATTATGTGTAAAAATTTCAGAACATTAGCAATGACTACTAGGGAGTGAACAGAGAATGACTTGTGACACACACTATCCTGAGGCATGCAAATGTGTGAACAAGAATGCCCCATGAGTAAACACTCCTTCAACCCCTTCCAATAAGGGAATGATGTGTTCGTTATAATGACTACCAGAATATACATACGTGCCTATGGGAATCAGCCATTATGCAAGAGGAAACAGACCAATAACTCTCAGCAAAATATTTGCAAAACACACGATCACACGGCGGTCCAATTCACACTACAACTTTCACTCACACAAACAACACACATTGTCATAACAAGTATGCCATGTAAAGGATCCCACATAAAATTACGTCATACAAATGTAAGCAACTAAAACCCAACAAACCCTGCAATCTTTTAGTAGCTGGGGCTGTGCGTCCTTCATAGGGAATATAAAATCTTTTTTCAGCTCCATTACTAGCTCAGGTGAGAGGCTGGTGTCGGCCCCCTCCCTCTCTCCTCTACCAGCAGACCCATCACCACTGGTGGCCGTTGTAGCTCTGACCTTATTCTCTTCAGTCGCCATCACTGCTGCATCACCAGTGTACAGCAGGGAAGGGAGTACACATAACAAAATATGACCTCCAGGCAGGATGGGTACAAAAGTGCTTGCATTTATTCAGGGAACGAGCCAAATTTTTCAAGACCCATTTTGCAGACATACGTAACAGAGAGAGGGAGGGAACCACACATGGATACAGCAATTCCTTCCACCAGGTGTGCAAATGTTCCAGGTTTGACCAAGACGCCCCATGCACACAACCTACACCTAACACTAGTTTCATGACTCAAAGGACAACTCCAGTGTGCCAAGTCAACATTCCATCCTGCAGAACGCTGGGAAATCATTCGCAATGGACATTCGTTTCAACCCAGCGCACACATCTTGCAACGGTACAGCATAAATTCTGAGCGACGGTGCGCTCTAAATAGACAATATATATATACAGAGGTCGACTTGCACACTGATGTACATGATCTGCCAAATCGTTATAAAAGTCATTAGCAAAATATACATACCTACTAATGAGCTAGTTGGATAGCTTTAGGACCAGTATATATACTGGTGGAGGAAGGGATGCTGCGCTGCCCTGCAGTCGATCCCCGTACGCTTCTACTTTGTGCGCATGCGCAAAAATCATTGTGCAGTCTCCCCCCCCCTCCTCCCCACGCCAATATAATGGGGCCCACGTTCAAAGAAGTATATACATATCCAAGACATCAAAGGTAGAAAAAAATATTTTTGGCCTAATCGCCACCTGCATTTGTATCAACTTTGCTTCATGACGTTTTACTTTACTTGACGACTTGACTTGTGCTGCCACTGGGTGATTGTAGCACTCCCATATATAAAGTATACTACTGGCTATTGCTGATTACTTGTTTTTCTGCTGTATGATTGTGTATGAATGGCCACTAATGGCAACAGTTATGGCATCATGTTCAGTATGCTATACCCCATTAGTCACATTGAAATCTGATCAGACAAAAGGAGCACAAATAAGGGTGACATGGCATTATGCTATGCCCCATTTGGTTGCTTGTGACATGTGTATAGTGCCATCGCATCATTTCTACCTTATACATAGGTGTCGCGACAAACAATACCCTCTTATGCTCTTCTTGCGCAAGTACAGAATGCCACACAACCACAGACTCAGCCTAGCCTATAAAAGCAAGAGGAACACTAGCCGATAAAGCAGAGAAACATTTTGAGGGGTGTAGAAATGAAGTTCCTAGAAGTTTTACTTGTGTCTGTGACTGCTGGACTGGCAGCAGGATCCCCTCCAGAATTCATTCATCATTTCAAGAGACAAGGCATCCAGTACTTCGGAAAGTGTTCCCAGGATCAGACACAAGGCATCTTTGTTGACTACCCAAACCAGTGTTACTCTGCCTTCAACAGCCTCAAGGAAGCATCTGAGAGTGACACAGACAACCCCATCGTGTACCAGGACCTGTACTCCCAGTTGTGCAGTCACCAGTGTACAGACCAGATCATGACTTTTGCCCAGGAGTGTGAGGTCCCACAGTACACTGACCCTCTCCTTCACGCTTGTGACCAGAACGCTGTCACTGGGGACTTCTGTCTGGCAGCTCGTCACATAAATGACGGATCACAAGCTGCCACTGACTGCTACACTGCTATCACCACTGGCAAGTGCTCTAAGTCCTGCTATACATCCCTGGAGCAACTGCAGAAAGATCTCGGCTGCTGTGTTAATTCCCTCTTTAACACCTCAACCTATGGAATGGACCGGCTTGGAGTGGCGTCCCACGAGCTCTGGAAGCTTTGCCACGTGGACGAGTTGCCTCAATGCAGCAATTCCCTTCTCACCCTTGCTTTTTCTGGTGCACCAAGACCACACATGCCCCTTGCACTCATAACGTTTCTCACTACTATCCGTGCAATACTATTGTAAAAATGCTAACATTATTATTATCTGACATAGATTGTATTGTTTTTGTGATTGTTCATAATGCCTATAGCTGATTTGTAGTCATTACGATGAATCTAACTGTCCATTGGAGTCAAATCTGGGAAGCACTGGCATGACAGTGTTACCGTGGATTGAGGGTTGAGAGATGAAGAATGAGAAAGACTGAGAGGAGACCTGCTGCAAATCACAAAGGAAAATGACATATCATCATTCTTCTGGGCCTCAAAACTAGAAAATAACCTTCAAAAGGGGAGAGTAAGATATCACTTAATTTGGTCAAACCTTGCATATAAGTATATATAATATAGTGTAGGAGTACAAAGGCAGCTACCATTGGCTGCATCGTGTTTGTCGCAGCATTTGTTACTTCCCAGCCTAGCATGACCACTTCTACAATGCACTGTGTAACAGGTCAGTAGTTTATCCTTACCTGTAGTAACACCTTTTGCTGCTGTTGCTGAAGCACAAAGTCACTGGGAGACGGTGACTGCATGTGAAATACAATTATGGTAAACTACGTCTGAATTCTCATGGGATCTACTGTAGTATGTCCTGGTGCCCTAAAAATGAAATGCCATTGTTCTCACATGATACCACCAACATTCATTCTTCCTTCCATTTCAGATGTTGTGTGTGTTGCATGCACCATTTCTTTAGTGTCCAGGCAACTGCCTCACCCACAATTATGGTAAACTACGCCGGAATTCTCATGGGATCTACTGTAGTATGTCCTGGTGCCCCAAAAATGAAATGCCATTGTTCTCACATGATACCACCAACATTCATTCCTCCTTCCATTTCAGATGTTGTGTGTGTTTCATGCACCATTTCTTTAGTGTCCATGCAACTGCCTCACCCCTTTCCAAAACACTAATGATGCCCTAAATTTGTGAATCTCGGTTGAAAGAAAGGAACGAATATTCAGCGATAAGGTGATGGTGTGGCAGCAAGTAAGGTAGGGAATTAATAATCCTAGGGGGCAGTCCACTAGGGCCATCAATGCCCAAAGTAATGGGCAGAACCAAGACAACACAACACACTTAAAGTAGTGTCTCAATTAAAAGAAGCATGAAGAATGGGATTAATCATCTGGTCTTTCGCATACATCACCCTACTGCTGGGTGCATTCAGGGGTAAATTCCTATAAGTAAGTTGTTATGAATGTGTATGACGTACAGAATAAGTCAACCTCGAGCCAGGGGTTAGAGCTGCTCTGACTCCAGAGCTCTGCAGGCCAGGAACTGGAGCTGGAGAGCCTCGTTGGTGGGAGGATGGGTACAGAGATGATCGCCCACTACCACTGAGGATGTGCAACAGAGACATTATTATACTGTAAACAAAATGTATTGGCCGTGTATAAAAACTCGACCAGGTGAGAAAAACACTTACACTTTCATCCAACTCTATACACACGGAATAACAAACCCTGAGAGTCTGGTGGTCTTCTTATTGGGTGTGAAATCCCATGCACATTGTGTAGTCAATATGATGGAGGGCATACACAACGGAGTAGAATACAGAAATAGAATATAGGCGACGTCGTGGACTCCATTAACCTTGAAGGACTATCACTGAGCAGTCTTTGTAGCCGAGACTTGGTTTGTTGGAGGCCTTGAAGAATGTTACGGCGGTTTTTTACGTCTGCAAGAGATGTGTACAGTAGCTAGCTATAGCCTGTGTAGCCGATCTGAGTGTCCGAATCCCCGAATATAAGCTTAACCATACATAAAATACACCATATATGATAAACACGGCCAACTACTATTCAACCGTTAGCATATTATAGAGTCTAACCTCCTTGAAAGGCCATTGTCGTCAGCACAGCACCATGCACCACACCACGCCTCTCCCCGCCCCCCTTCGGTGACTCAATGTGCGCATGCGCGTGCAGCACAGTAGTTATACGCATGCGCCTTACAACGACCGTAGGTTGCAGCTATGTAGTCTAAAGCTCAACAATGCTATTATCCTGTATGTCTCAACAACTTGGTAACGAGGTAGAAAGGCAACGCAAGGCAAACAAGTCAACTACACCCAGAACAGCTCTTTCTTTTCAAATAAAAGAAGCTAGGTGGGATTCAAACCCACGACAGTCTAAGTGAGCACTCTAACAACTGAGCTACCAGGGCAGCTCAGCTGGTAGGGGTTCGAATCTACAACACAACACAAGACAAACCTCAAACCACTGTGACAGTAAACTCTCACTCAGTATGTAGGAGCAGACAGGGGTAATTAAACCACCAAAAGACGCCCAACTCCAAACCGAGTATATGCACGTCTCAACAACTTGGTAACAAGGTAGAAAGGCAAGGCAAGGCAAACATGCATATGCATAACTATATACTCGTAGCAGACTATTAGCTACATGCGGGCAGAGTTCTGGGGGTTTGGACTTAACTTTTCTTCGGCATATGATCAACATATGATATATAGATTGTAAGTGATGAAGGGGATTTGACTCAAGCTATTCGACAGGAATCCAGAAAAATGTTGTCGGCCGCCATTTGTGCCACACACTGGACAGCTAGAATCAGTGTACACCATTTCTAAACTACTAGCTAAATATCCCATGGTAATGAAACAAACACTTGTTGGAGATTCATGTAATATATAGTAACACCAGTCCACAAGATAATTCATAGCTCTAACCTACTGAAATCATGGCAAGAGGGCGTAAATTTGTATCCAGAGACCTGTTCTTGTTCAGTGCAAGCAAAATGTCAATTCAATGCAGCCTGACCTTACAGGAGAGGAGATTTGGAGGTGGGCAGCATTGGCTGTCCCATTCACCATTTTTGGTGCACACACAAATAAGTCAGTAATCTTTGAGCAATAATACATTATGAGTGTTGAGGGTAGCTAGGTGTTTAGGTATATATATAGCAGAGTTTCAGTTTTACCCAAGGACTTACGAAAATCCAAGATGCACACAGGAGGGTATATAGGGTGTTTGCAATTTGTGAGTGGAGACTTCGTCTTGTGGTCAGATATTCTCTCAGTTATATACACGCATTATACATTGTGCCAATGATGGGGAAACAATACCTTTAGCTACCGACTCTACATTACCCAACGTTCTCTATCTCTCACCGAATAATTTTGGTGTACACTCTGCCTCAATCAGTGTTGCTGCTCATGTGGCTCTAAGACCCGATTGAAAATACTGCCATTTGCCATGTGGACCATCGTACTCTTCCTCCAACTGGTCATGGCATCCGTCCTAAAACTAACTATCGTGATTTTCATGAATCCAGTAGATACTTCCTCTCCATTATGATCTCTCTCTTTTTCTGTCTGGTGGTATTGTAGCCTTACCTAATGAATGCGGAAACTACACAGCCCACCACCAGATAACTAAGGAGATGAGAGGCAGGTCAACCCTCACTTTCAATACCTCCAGGAAGGCCATGAGTCTCACAGGAAACTGGACATGACAAAAGCTGGTTCAGGCCTTTGCCTTCCTCATCATTTATGTTGTAGCATGTCTTGGTAAGCTGAGAAAGACCAGCTAAAGCTAAAAATGTGATGGTATTTGTTGCCATTTGAGTGAGGTATTTCCAATCTCCCGAAGGATTTCTTTCATTGATCTCCCATCCAGAAGAGGCAGGAGAGACAGACCTGCAGTGCCAAATGAATGGAGTCTTGAAATCACCCACGGAGATCCTTGGCAATGCTGAAGAAACTTGCTGTCCTACATTTACCTGGCAGATGTAATACAAGCTGTGGCACTAATGATGAAAGCTGGCTGAAACTATGCCACATGGCTCTGGAGAAAGGCAACTGGAATGTTTCTCTCCCTCCACTCCCACTCAGATGGCACATGCCCTGCTCCTAACTACGTTGGTTCTGGGTCACCCAGCGCACACTTCGTATAGGTTGGAACGAGTCACTACGAGGTTTGAATAACCCGAGGGGGAGGGGTGAGAATGACGCAATAGTGACCGAGGCGGAGCCGAGGTCACTATCATCCCGACCCACGAGGGTTTTCAAACCGAGGAGAGACGAGTTCAGTGGTCTAACTGGCTTAGAACCGCGGCACGGAGAGCGCAGTTTCGCTTTGTCTTTTCGATAGTGTGCAAGACCCGTTACCCAGTTGGCTCTGCCCGCCAGAATTTAGGCTGGGAAACGGCGAAGGCCCATTTACTCATAGCTTCGAGACTGCCGCCGAGCGGGACGAGTTCATCATACAAGCATCGCAGCAACTGGACGGATATATCCTGCAAGCCCCGCCGGAGCAAGACACTGTCACTGGAGCGCTCAGCCCGCGTCGCTTGATCTGGACGATTTGTTGTGTGTCGCTAGTCTAGTCAGGCGTTGAAATCAGCCATTATACATGGAACGAACGCTCACGGGAAACGCCTGACTAGCGCGCGACCAACAACAAATCGTCCAAGCGACGCGGGCTGAGCGCTGCGATGGTTGTATGATGAGCTCGGCGGCAGTCTCGAAGCTAGGAGCAAGTGGGCCTTGCCACTCTTCGATTATTATGGATTTGACCTTTGTGAAACCTCAGTGATCTAAATTCTTCACAGTGATCTAACTTGCAACTTAGAGACTTAGTACTTAGATACCTGGCAGACACAGTACTACGGGTTTTAGAAACTTGATTACTACACTCAACATCAAAGGGAATTATTCATGAGAGGTTCTAACTGTTGATATATTATACACATTAATCATTTTATATATGCCAGTGTCAATTTTTCTGCAGATATGGTCATAGTCAAATTGTTTTTCAATCTCACTAAGTTAAGTGTTTCCCTCGCCCATCTTGTTTAAAAGCAGGGCGATGATTTTTGGTTTCTTGTCAGTGTGTGTCGATGAGCATCGAGCCTATTATATAGCAATGCCTAAAACGCAGTATAGCTATATAACCTCGTGTCAGACTCTCAGAAAGCTAAGCGAGAGACCACCAGCAAGGGATGTTGAGTTTTGTTTTCATTTCGCTAGGGTCGAAAATGCAGTGCCAAGGACGGAGGCTAAAATACGCCAACTGGGGGCTATCGCTTCGAAAACGGACACTGGGTAATACACGCACATAACTCGCTATTCAGAAACGAGAGAAAGATTCGGATATATTTCACTTGATGTAACAAAACAACACGGCACCCTATATTATGTATAATGCAGACAGTAATAGCTAGCTTTGGTGAACCTCGCGTTTTTCATTGTGCTGTTACGCGTGGTGGCTGCAACACGGATTTGAGACAACGCAACACGCGCGGCTTCGAGTCCTTGGGGCCCTAGCCCAACGCTCCAACTTCTATGTGAAATTCTTCCGCACAAAGTGAAAGTTTTTTTACTTCTCCCATAACATTCAGTAAACCCCACACAAACACAAAAACTAGTTTCAGTTTGTTTGGGAAATTGCTAGACACAGCAACTTCCATCTGCCCCACCTGAATGTGAAGGACACCTCTTCTCTGTTAATGAGATGCTCCCTTCATAATTTTCAGGGGGCTTGCTGTCAATACGGAGTTTGATATCACTTGAAATTGTACTAAACACTTCCTGGACGTTCTGTCCTGTCTTGGCACTAACTTCAAAGAACTTGTAGCCCATCTCTCTCGCCATCTCCTCTCCCGCTACTTGAGACACCTCCCTCTCTCCCTGGTGACATCTGTTTGCAACCAGTACTCTGTTAACGTCTGGAGACCCGAACTGCTCCACCTGTTTGTGCCAATCGCCAACGCTCCCGAATGATTTTGCATTCCCCACGTCGTAGACCAGCAATACGCCGTGTGCTCCCCTGAAGTATGCGCTCGTGAGGCTACGAAATCGCTCGTTGCCCACAGTGTCCCAGAGCTGTAGCTTTATCCGCTTTCCGTCCACCTCGACCGTCTTGACTCGCAAGTCCACCGCTACATTTGTCACGTACTTTCCTTGGAAGTATCCATCCACAAACCGCTTTATCAGCTCCTGTTTCCCCACGTCGTAGTCCCCCACCAAGACTAGCTTGAATAAGTGGTCGTATTTCTTGCCTGGTTTCGTATTCTTCTCTTCTGCCGCCGCCATCGTCGCTGCTCGGACGCGGTCGTAGCGTCACCGGTCCTGTGACGTCATATCCGTAGTATCCGAACATAACTTCCATACAGAGCCCAGGATCCGTGGACTACGGATGCACGTGACGTTGATTGGCCATTCTGCGATCTGATTGGAGATCTCGTTCATTAGCGAGCGGCAGCGGGAGCATCAACTGCGCATGCGCGCTTTACACGATATTCTGGCTGAGACCGTAAGCAATCTTCGTTGTTCCAAGGTGCAAGTTGTAAATAGGCTAGAATGGCTCCTGCAGTTACAGTCATTGGGTGTGCTTGTGAAGATAAAACGTGGTGGCGCATTGAAAAATCGGCGGTGGAGGGCCTGGAGCGAATACTGAGTGGCAATTCGTTTGAATCAACGCCACCTCTGACTATTCGGCGCTTGGAATGAAGCAAGGTACTAGGTTAGGACTTCTCCATGCAACGCAGATGATGACTCTACTGATTGCTCATAGCCATCCTGCCTGACCAGCTTCAAGGTAGCGCCGGACTTTTTATATGCAAACTCTCTTCATGTCGTCCGTAGTCAAGTCCATGGCCCAGTCCAGAGTCCAGCTTTCGTAGTGTCCCGCGTCTTTGTCTAAATTTCTCACACTGTGGGGAGATGGTAGCACAGTAATGGATGAAGAAAGAAAACTTACAAGCCTGTAGGACTGAGATGCTGGTCTAGGCAATGCACAGAATATTGCAGTACATAAACCAAAGCACTGATTCAGTCACTTTTTATGTAGCTACAAGGCGACAGATAAATTGAAGGATGTCACGCGTGAAAACGAGTATATAATAGCAGAGAAACCGTGCGTAACGGCTGAAAAGAGTGATGATAGTTTGGTGGTCGAGTGTGGTAAAATGAAGGCCCCAGAAGTGAAGAAAGTATGGAAAATGTTCAAGGGAAAATGGATTACACTCAGTGAATATGAAATATCCCAGGTTTGAGGGAAAGCCAATAGGGGAATGTCTGGCCATCCATGAAAAAGATGGAGTTAAGCCAACGATCTCACCAAATCCTCAGTCCAAACAGTAGCCACCAAAGAGAGTGGAAGGGCATGCCCACAAAGATAACAAGGCAACAGTGGCGACAAGCACTCGAACGCAGCAGTTTCACAGAAAACCCCATATTTTCGACCTATACCCGACGCTAAAATACGTGGTATTGTTTGTGGAGCGATTCATGGCTCGTGAAGTGAGATGTCGAGTAACAGACAGACAGACAGACAGACAGACAGACACATACGACAACCACAGTAACCCTCGCCGCGCATGCGCGCCGAGGGTTAACGACTATACGACACTGCAGGGTTACCTTTCATGGCTGGCACCGATTGCGCTGCACCATTAATGAAGTCATAAGACAAAGTTTTGACCAAAGTTGGTACACTAAGGTTTGGACCAAAATTGCTTCTCTCCAAAAGTGTTGTTTATTCATTGCCAGCACTAAAGACAGATTTACTTAGCAGGGGGATTTTCTAGCTACCATCCATCACAATCAGTCTTCACTTGCTCCCTTCATGATATCTTTACATCCAACAAACTCGGATGCAGTCTGCGATGAATAAGAAAGTCTGCTGTATATACAGTGACACGTATAATAACAAACTCAAGAGAGCTTACAGACCCAAAAGAGGGCTTTCCTGTTCCCCCACCGAGAAAGGAGCTGCTCCCCCCCCCGGGCGCCCCCCCCCCCCCCACACCCCCGGCCCCCGCCCCCGAAACGGGGGAGGTAGCGGGGGAGGGTGGGAGGAAGTGACGTGGGAAGGGGAGGCGCTCGCAAGGGGCATGAGGCAGGGGGGATAGTTAGGGGTGGCTGGGGGCCGTTCGAGAGCAGAGGGGAGCAGGGGGGGGGGAAAAGGACGGGACGTAGGGGAGAAAGGGCGGGGGATGGAGGGGGACGGAGGGGAGGAAACGGGGCGTGAGGAAAGCGGCTGCTCGAGCACGCTTCCGCCCAAGAAGCAAACACTCCCCCGCCCCCGCCGGACGCGGGGGGCAAGGGCGAAAAAAGTGGATTAGGGTAGTGACAGAAAGGACAAGGGGGGGGAAAATGAAGGAAGGAGACTTTGGTGGAGAGGAAGGTGGTACGTAGGAGGAGGGCGTAAGAGCTTTGTGTCAGGGGCCGAAATCAGGGCAGGGCGAGGAAGGTGGAGAGGAGGAATTCCTGGGGCTGCAGCTGCCTACAACCACTAAGGCTGGCGGGGGTGAGGGGAGGGGAGAAAAGAGTTAGGGCGAGGGGGTAGGGGATGAGAAGGGGGAGAAAGGCGAAAAGAGGGGCATTGTAGCAAAAAAAGTAATGGAAGGCTGAGGGGGGAGGTGAATTGACGGGGGGCAGGGGGAGAGGAGGTAGGAGAGAGGGAGGAGGGGAAGTATGGGAGCCAAAGAATAGTGCCGTCGAGGACTGCGGGGGGGAGGAGTCTAGAGGCGGGATGGGCAAAGGCGATAGGGGGTGGGGAGGCGGTGGGATAGAGGGGACAGACATCCTCCCCCGGATCCCCCCCGCGTCACCCGTAGCCTGGCCACTCTGTGTAGCGCCCCTTTTTCGGTATAAGTAAAAGTTCCGTTTCTGATTTTACCCCAAAAAAATCAGCACTCTTCCTCTAAATATTCTAAGAAAACAAGGTACATTTCAGCAAATGGAGAATTTAGCAAACTTTCATAGTCAGCTTCAGAAGTCAGGGTTCACAAATTTGTGACTGTGTAATACTATCCATACTACAGGGGTGACAAATTTGTGAACCCTGACATTTTAGGGTGACAAATTATTATGAACCACATGTTGGTATTGTAAAAAGTGCCCATCAATTGAAAGGTTCACAAATTTGTCATCCAGTTGCCTGACTTTTCAACATTAATCTGCCAATTTTATCTCTGAATCAAGTTCAAAATGACATGAAAGTATTTCAACAAAATGTGAAAATTGGAAACGGAACTTTTACTTGAGACACTGTTTCTTGTCTAATTAGGTGGACACCTGCTGAAGTGGGGGAGATGACTCTGACAACCCGACCTATGATGTCTACAGATTGTCCTGCAGTGGTTCTTCCTGAAGACCGCAATATCTCACAGCACTCAAAAGTATATAATTCTATTGAGATTTTGGAGTGATTCTGCACCATCATCAATAGGCTAGGCTATTGACTGCTCATTTGTGGACATAATAAGCACAGGAACCATCTGAGACACTGTCTTTAAAACTTCAGCAACCAGTTCAGACTTGTCTTAAGCAGTTTTTGTATTTAGTATTTCAGCTTTGGATACCGTGTGTTGAGCATTAGCTATACTAATTGCTGCCATTGTACACCATCTCATGCATGTGTTGCTGTAGTCCTATATACATAACCTTATGCCTACATGAGAAGCCCTATGTATGTGTCGTCATCGCTTCTATCTCATCTGTTATTTTCTTATTTGTCTGTTGTTATAGTGTAAGTTGTTAGTTTACATCAACTATAGCCATAGTAACACACTCAGCAACGTTCATAATATGTAATTATTGTCTCTTGGCTTGTGTTCTAATTCCAGGTGTGCAAGTTAGCTACTTGGTTAGCAGTTCATCGTGCATGGCAGGTATTATTCCCTTGCGAAATGTGACGGAAAGCAGTTCGTCCACATCCTTGATGTTGGGATACTGGTGGAGAGCCCACTTGAGGTAGAGGGAAAACTCACTCCAGTCCACACGCCCGTCGCTGTCCATGTCTATTGCAATAAGCCCCTTCCTTGTATCGTCGCATCGAAAGCAACCAAAGTAGGGAGCCATGAAGCCATTGTAGAACGAATCAAACTCAAGGCATTCGTCTCCGATTAGCTCGACTGATTCCCGCAGATCCCACGTGTCCCACATCTCCCTCACTTTGCGGAGTAGGTGCTGATGGAGGGCATCTTGGACTTCCACTTCCTCGATTACGTCTCTCATGGACTCGGTCAGAGAGCCACCTGCTCGATCAAACAGCACTGCCAGACCCATCTTGCTCATGTATTCTTCTTTGCGGTTATGGGTTAAGTCGTCAATCATCACCTTCTTCATTCCTTCAGCTACGGAAAGAGTGAAAATGTCGAGGTCACCAAACAGGTTCACCAGTCGTTCCTGAATCATGTCGGCAGATGCTAATGTGCTGATTCTCTTCGGCGCCTCCTCTCCGAAAAACGTTGCTAAATCAAAGTCAGATTTACCGACATGCCCACCGGAAATTCCACCGAAGTCGAACGCCATGTCCAACGCTCGCTCACCGTAAACAGGTTGCTTTGGATGGGGAGGCCTGCCACTCGTAATTTCCGTCACCCTCATGGCGGCTCGTCTTAGTTCCGTGCAGTTGTAACGCTCTAGGACTTTCTTGTTGCCAAGGCGGATCAGATTCAACAGCGACACGGACGTGCACGCGTGTCCTAGCGCTGCGCCTTCCGCGCACAAGCTCGCCCAAACTCCGTTCGCACCGTTTCCGAGGCACGCGAGTTGTGCGGCCTCCGCCAGACCCCATTTCTCGTGGACGTGGACTAACAGTTTTCCTGTGTTCCAGTCATTGACGTTCATGACTTTTCGCACCGCAGCGGTCCACCCGCCTAGTTGGGCTGGAAAGTTTTTGCCGGTCGGTTCTTCGAATATGAGTCCGAACGGGCGCATATCTGCTGGGAGACGTGCGAGAAACTCGGTAACGGACAGAATACGGTGCGTGGTGGTAGGATCCAACATAGCGATTGAAAAATCTCGGTAATTGATAAGTACGTTGCCATCAACTGCTAGGTTTTCTTTTACCCACTTGATCCTTTCCTGGAGAAGATTTTTGACTCGCTCGACAGTAAACTTCTCCCAGTCGATGCGGCTGTCCGCCAGGTCAATTTCGATTATCGGGTTTTGAAGCTGTAGAGTCTTCATTTTGTCAAGACCGACAGGTAGAGTAACTAAGTCTGGTTCACCATTCGAAATGCTTCCCCATCCCTCGGAGAACGCGTAAAATGTGCTCATGTCCTCGCCAGTTTCCGCTAGTT